TATTGTGATTATTTCTTAATGTAACTTGTTTATAATTTCTTTTATTTCTAGAATATTATTTCTTATTAGTTGTTAGAATAATTGGTTTATTATTTCATATTTTTTTTAAAAGTATACAAAAGGGAAAATTGTAATTAATTACTTATTTTTTCAAAATAAGTACATATTTAATCATTTAGTATGACAACTTTGATAATAATATTTTAATAAATAGAAATGAAATTTTAGTAATAAATGACCAATGAAATAGGAAAGTTGTAATTATATAGTTCGATTCTTTTTTTCAAAATAATGAAGGCCTTAATTATTTAGGATCAAAATTGCTAAAATGTTTTAAAGATAGTAATGAAAATGTATGAACAATATTAATAAATGGAAATGAGAACATTATATTTAATTTTTAGTTTTTTTTTTAAATAAATCACACATATTAATTTGCATGATTATTACTATACATTATTTTTCAACTTGAATAGTATCATCGATCTCACCAATAAGCACCACATTAAATGACAATATGTGTTTTTATTCTTTTATATTCATCAGTTTTATTTCTTTCTTAATGATCGGCGATTTATTCAAAGTAATTATTAATTATTAGTTTGCAACTGATCAGCGATATTTATTCAACGCTATCGATATTTATTTACTTATTCAATTACAAATTACAATAGTATAACAAAATATATTGTCATTATTCACATATGCAGTTTTTATTCCCTTATGAATTTCCTTTATTGTTATTCTACTATGTTTTATATTTCATTATTCACATTAATTACTCTTAAATCTCGAGAGTAATTCTCTCTAACTTGTTATTATTCCATAATTATTCATAATTCATATAAATGATCATTTTAATACTTCAAAAGAAAATAATATGTTAAAATTTATGACATTTTATTATCTTTAATTAACAATTAATAAAATTCACATATGTGACATGAGAAATTGTCTATTGAAAATCCAAACATTAGTGTTTTTGAGGTATTAAAAAATTATGGTGCCATTTTTTAATAAATATATAACATATGTAATGGTTAATAAATTCAATGAAAATATAAAATGAAGAAAAAATGTACTCATGATATATTTTATTTAAATAACAATAAATTTTTGTTTTTATCATAACATAGACTCAAATGTAACTTTCATGAACAATTGCACATTTCTTTTTATAATAATGAAAAACTTTATAATCTTGACATTTGAGTTATTGAAAGACACATAATCAAATATCACATATGAAGATGAAACTTAAATCAAAAGAAATTTAAGAGGATGATACACTCTAGGTGTTTATAACAACATGCAAAACAAAAAATGAAAATCTGATTATTTGAATAAAAAAGTGTATAAAAATAAAATAAGAGATGACGATAGAGAAAACTACCCTGTGAAAATGTTCTGAATAGAGAACCAAAATGCAAATGAAAAGAGAAAATGATTATGTTAAAATATGATGAAGAGATAAATATGTTGTAGAAAAATAATGAATCTTTGAATAAAAGATATATAAATAAAATTAGAGATTAAGAGGGGAAAACTTAAAGGGATGACAAAACTGCAAATAATACGAGAAAATGATAAAAGCGAGATACTATGAGGGGATAAATAAGTTAATAACAAAAGCACACAAACAACCAACAACCATATATTTTGAAGGTTTGATGATACTCTGGATGATACTCTTACTTATAAGAATCTAACGAATAGAACGATTCGAAAAACAAATCTACAAAATAATGAAATTAGTTAGAACATATGTACAAAATAAGGAAATCAATGAAAATAAACAAAAAATCAATAATAAAATAAGAACAAAATCACAAAATAAGAACATATATACAAAATGAACAAAAAATAAATAAAATATACACTTTAAATATGAGATATACAAAATAAGAATATATCTACAAAATAATATGATTGCTTTTACAATATTATAAGGAATGTGCATAATAAGATAATATGATTGCTAATAAGAATATGAGTTTAGGGAAAATTAAGAAAAAAATTTGGATGAAAAAAGAATATAAGAATATGTGAATATGATTGAGTGTTTGATAGGAAAAAATGAAGGATTAATAGAGTGTGTGAGAGAACATAATAATATATGGATATGTTTAGGAGAGAAAAAATGAAGGAGGGTGTGACACGTGTCTAGTGATCATGTGGCAAAACCTTTTTTCTTATAGATATATAGATTAGAAAATATGTATAATACTGATCTTTGAAAAATTCATGCATGAAACTAAGATCATTTGCATTTTTAAACAGTATAATCGATTACACAATCCTGGTAATCGATTACATGCTGATAAACTAATCAGACATGTGCATTTTACATGATGTAATCGATTACAATATACTCGTAATCGATTACAGCATATTAAAAGCATCAGATATGTGCATTTTTTTACATTTTCTTTTGTTTTTTTTTTTAATTTTACCAACCCGGCCGGTTTAACCAACCGGGTTATTCCGGTTTTACCCAGTCTAACCCGGTTGGACCGGATTTTCCACGGCCCAAAACGGCTGGAAACCAATTCCGGTTTTCTACATGTACAGGACCATTTACTCAAGCGGATGACGGTTGGACCGGCCGGTCCGGTCCGGTCACAACAACATTGGTATGTGCACATTGTGAAAACTATATATATTCGAAGCCTACTTATATTGGAGAACTTTTTGGCTTCCTTGGCATGGTCGAGGACATTGATTCTATACATTGGGTTGAGATTCTTTCCAATACTACTGGATTGTGAGACTCAAAATATGCACCGTTAAAAATTTTAAATGATACATGTCATAACTTCTTCCTGTACTACAAAGTACATTAGGCATAGAATAAATGTCCAACAACATGTCAAGGACAATTTACTAGAGGTGATTGAGGTAGAATTTGGATCATCTACATTAGTGGTTAATCCATTACCATATTATAATTATGACATGCAGTAAAAATAAAATCTAACGGTCCTAATTTTAAATTATTTTCTAATAAAATAAATTATAATTATAAATATTATTTCCTTTTATAAACTATTAGACTGTACAATGCAGAAGAGGAGTTGAACCCATTGAGGTAAGCTGATACTTGAAGTTATTGTGTGGTAATACTTGTAGATGGCATCATTGGGATGCATATTTTGGGTTGCATATTCTAATATTGATATCAATTAGTACTCTACTCATCACTTTGTGATGAGTTTATTGGATAGTTCTATTATATTCTTCTACCTCTAACCAATGCCATGAGTTGATGGTGTATATGAAATTACACACACACCGATATTTTTTTACAACCTAAGAGGCTTCCATCTAAAGGTGGTAATGAGTTGAGTTTGGCTCAACTCAGTTCGACTCGTTAAGGATCGACTCAAGATGAGTTTGATCTGAATTTAATCTAAAATATTTTTTCAGACAATTAAGCTTCAAGAACTTTCGAGTAGAATAACGAGCTCAAATTTATGTTATTCATTAGCTTGTATAATGATCATTGATATAGATACATTGTGTGTATTTGTACTACATAAAGAAAATGGGACTTTAAATTTTTTAAATAGTAATTATAAAATATTTTTAAATTGAAAGATTTATGTATATACTTATATATATATATAATCAAGTCACTTCATTAACTTAATAAGTTAAATTATATTTTGGTCAAATATGATTTCTTTATTTAACGAAATCAACTTTTAGTTAAAATTAAACTCAATTTATTTATGAACTAAGCCAAATAATAAGTTACATTCCAAACAATATAATTGAGTTGATTCAATTTCTTAACATGCACTAATAAGTGGGCCTCTACGTGGTCTAGTACAACACCAATATTGGGCCAACGATATCATGTTTCTACGACACTGACGGACTCAAACATCTTGTATGTAACAAAAAAGAAAACAAATGGAGGTTGGATTTGAGTTTTTTTTTTGTTTGGAAATTCCTATTCTAATCTTTTTCTTCTCACTCACACAGTATACTATCTCCTTAAACTTTTCCTCTCTCACTTTCTCACCTATGGCTCACCTAAAAGACCTAATACCTAATGCAACTCAAATATTATTCAAACTTTACCCCATTATGTATCTAGAAAATTACACCAATTTGAAACAAATAAAACTATAAGATATCCGCACATGTACATATATAACAACGTTGGTTGGACACAACAGTGCTCATTATAATGAGCGCTCTTAAAATTTGACATAGTACAGCATTCGCATAAGCGTTGTTAAAGTACCATATACTATTGCACTTATATAGACAACACCCAAAAAACGTTATTATATTCGCGAAATGTGTGTTGTTGATTTACATATATAGCGGAGTGTTAAGTCATGATTCAATATTTCTATCAATCATAGTCTCCCTATTAGTAAATGATAAAATTTTGTGCAATGTGTTGATAGTAATATGGATGGCTGAAATTTGGACTAGAAGGAAGGCATAATTTTTTCAATAAAAAAGACACAACCATGGAGGACATACCGGATGAAATAAAACTCAAGTCATGGATCTAAGATTAAAGGAAAATACAAGTCTGCAATCATGCATTTGCTTGAATGGAATAACAACCCGATTCTTTGTTTGAAGTGTTATTGGAGGTGAATAGGGTTTATATTGCGGGATATCGATCACATGTACTCAATGGCATTTCATTCCATATCTTGGACCAATCAGCCATTGTCACATAAATAAATAACATTTAAAAATGTAATAGTTTTATTTTAATCATTTAAATCTGATTGGTCTGGGATATGAAATAAAACATCATTTAGGACAAATGATGTCCGTATTGTAATCATATATTTAACTAGCATTCACAAATGTACTATTTTATAATTGTGGTATTTTTCTTATCTAAATTTATTAACAAATTTGTACTTACCACCAACTCCATGAAACAATGATAATCACCCAATAATGTATTTTGTACTTATTTTACAATCAAGTAGCATTACTCTAAACAATTAATAGAATAACTTTTTCTTATTCGAAAATCGCGTAAGAATCTCTTTTGCTATCATCTCTCTTCCTTACTTTTACTTTCTATTAAAACCAAATGATTATCTTCATCATGACATTTCCTTCATATACCGCAAACCCCAATTTTCATTTCCTTCAAGGAAGATGAAGATGTTGTCTTCTTCGAGATTAGAATTCTTGAATGAACACAATCAAAAACCACCTTATATAACAGAATCAAAGGGTAGCTTTTAAGAAAGATTAGGAAGCTTTCATTTTTTGTGGGGAATGTCGCCTGGTCCAAGGAGATAAACTATCTTTAGAACTTATCATATATGAATATGATGTATCATGTAAGTAACAATATCCTGATTGTATAATTGTGTTTTTGTCACAAGTTAGTGTCTTCTCGGACCAGGCTTCATTCCCCTCAATTACAGCTTCATATCACAAATATGTTCTTCTATCTGATTATATATTCTCCAGGTGAGTTATCATAATTTTTATTAATTTTATTTTCCAGTTTTAAGCTATATATTATATACCTTAAAATTTATACATTTGTAGTAACCTCTGATGGTGGATCCGTGTTATAATGATAATATTTTGACTGTACATGCCTCTTGTTTTCAACACAAGTACATAAAAAGGTAGCCATCATTTTGCTTTTGAGATCTAGTTTTACATTTTTCAGTTCTGGCTAGCTATAATGGTTCAGTTTCAGTATCCTATGCTTCTATTGTTGAAAAATGTTTCCTCATCATTGGATCTGAATTGCACATGATAGTTTTCAGGATCTTGTCTCTATAATCCATATATAGGATCTGTTGTCCTTTTTCACTATGGTCTCTTAGGGTTTCATAGCCAACCTCTTAGACTTATATTTTTTTAATGCCAAGAGTGTCCCTCAACCAAAGTCAGAAAATACTTGATATCATCCTTAACGAATACTACTATCTATCAATGATACGTGTTAATCTTCTTTGTTCTTAGACATATATAATAGGCTACATAAAATAGTGAGCATGTCCAGCTATAGAGATATGATAGAACTTACTTATCAAAGAATATATAATAATTCTGTTGAGAAGTAAGTCTCACGTCGCCTACCTCATTGTCTCAAGAATGGTTTAAATACATGTTGGACTACTCATGTCATTGTCAATTGATTTTGAGATGGAACCTTAACAAGTTATTATTCTTTTGATATATGTTTCTGTATGTAGTACAAAGAAAAATGACCTACCCAAAATGGAGATCATGATCTATTGATTTTCAAATTGTTTATCATTGTTTGTGGATGTGGGAAGATTGATTTGATTTAAACCTGCATGCTATGTGGATCGCCATAGTCTCAGCTTTACTAATTATCAATTGTGTTCTTTTACATTTATTTATCAGAAATTAAATTATGTTTTTTTTACATATTTTTTTCATCTTTTTTAGTAATATGTTCCTTTGAGTGGAAGACATGGATGGAGAATGATAGTAAATTGAAGCATGTAGTATAATGTGACAAATTATTCTGTAGAATAGATTCTATTTTATTGCTATCTTTTCCTTCTTTATAAAAAGGATGCCTTTCTGCTTTCTTTTGAAAATCTTTATAAAAAAAGATGTCTTTCTTTATTATATTTTATCTTCTACAAATATATCCCCTTATCTCATATCAAAATAATTATATATATATATATATATATTAAGTTATAATGTTTGATTCAAATAAGTTGCAAAGTTTTTTAAAGGTATGAGTTGCAAAGTTTTTTAAAGCTATAAGTTGCAAATTGATTCAACTAAGTTGCCAACTTTATTTTACCAAACTCTTATTAAGCTAATCTAAAGTAACTAATAATATTTGATTCAAATTAGTTGCAATATTTTTAAAGGTATAAGTTGCAAAAAATGTATAAGTTGCAATTTTTTTGAAAGGCATAAGTTGTAAATTTGATTCAACTAATTAAGTTGCCAATTTTATTATACCAAATTCTTATTACATTAATATTAATTGAGTAAATGATATCTCACCTAGATTTCAATCATATGCATGCAATATTGATGTTGTTGAGCATCAAAATTGAAATTGTATAAATATTATTAACTTCTTTATACATGTATTTCGAAATACATAAAAAGGGAAAAAAAACATAATTGGTGTCCCTCTTACATGTAAAGTTATAAAACATTTTCCATTATATATAATGGAAAAAAAAGGTAACCTAATTGATTAGGTTGGATCATTTCACAAAACAAATAAACTTTTTTCCAGTAGTGAGACTCCTCTCCATTATGAAGAGGCAAGTGATATGAAAAAGTAAAGGAAAATCAACTTACATTGACATTTATATCATTTCAATTTAAAATAAGATTACACTTTTACCCTTATAATACACATAAAAAGTCACATGTCTCTCCATTAATGGAGATGATTTTTACTCTTTTTTCAACACAGAAAAGGGTGGAAAAAGAAAAGTGAAAGGATCATCAATGCTGATTTAGCTTATATGTTGTCAAGAATTGTTACATAACTAATCAAAGATGACTGTGGACTGCATGTGGAGTGAAGATTCTAAGTTGATTCCCTACCCTCTTTGATTAACATATATTAGTTTTAAATTGCACCACCCACCTATAGTTTTATACATTAATATCAAGTTTTTGATTTGGCCCATTATATAAATATCATCATAATTTTAGATGTATTTCACCTGCTTGGAAATAAATCAGTGATATTATTTAAAATTGAGTAAGTTAAACAATATATAAGTCAAAAGATAAAATCTCACATTATTTAGAATCGAGTAAGTAGAAAAATTCATAAAACTAATGTATAATAAAATTTTGTTAGATAGGGAATTCTCCTAAAACTCTAAAATAATATCATGCTCAAGTACCCCGAACTCTTGGAAAATAATCGTTAGAATTGATTAATAAATCTTTCTACATTAGAATTTTGTTTATACTCATAGTTTGGACTTATGTTGTTGGCTTAATCTCTTGAAGAAGATCAAAGTCACACTCTCTCAATCCAAACTATAAGCAATGACCAATCCTAGAATATAATATTATCAACCTATTTTTCAATTTTTTTTGTTCCCAACAATTTTCATATTTTTGTAAATTTATTTTGTTGATCTATATATTTTGCTTGCACAATTTTCTCTCTCTTTATCATTGCAAATTTTTTGACTTAATAAAAAAAAGTTAGGTGCCCCTTTTTTATTTTTTATCTGCATGCTACAAAGGTGTTATCTTTTATTTCTTAGAGTTAATTAGCTGTCCCCTCATACAAAAGAGCAATTAATTTCTTAGAATTTATGCCTAAACAACTTATAAGCACATGTCATTACTCCTAGCCACTTTATTATTGTTATATATCTAACACAGATAAAATTAAAGGAATAAATTTGTTCAACATTGTTGCTCCTATAACTTATTTTAGAAATTAAAGCAACCCCCCATCTTAAAAAGCTTATGTTGAGTTCCAAATTCAATAAACTTAACATTTAAACTAGATAAAAAAATATTGTCAAGTGCAGCAAGGTGGTTATTATATTTATTTTTGTTACTTCATTCGACTAGGACCATGGTGTTTGATAGTTAGGGATAATAAAACTACAAAAATTATCACTAGTGGATGCAAATGCACGCGCAACAAACACAGAGACAAAGGAAAAGAAGAAATTTTTTTATAAATTTATGGGTGGAACAGAAAATGATCACTGGAAATGTAGGTTTTATATGCGTTGCCCATTTAGTTGTTGGCAGAATCATACCAAGGATTTCACTTTTCCCAACTTTTCCCCCACTAAAATGAATAAACTCATTAAATAATCTAGATCTAGCTTAGTTAGTGCACAATTTGGTTAAGGAGTGATTAACAAGGTTGAGGGCATTTTGTTTTAGTTGGGTTAGCTTCTTTTATTGGAGTAAGTATTAAAAAAACAAAAAGAAAAGTAATATATTATTTTATTTATAATAAATAATATATTATTTTATTAAAAACAAAGAGAGATATAAAAAATTTCTTTTAAATATCACAGATTTTGTTAGGATTTAAGCACATAAGTAGAGTCGAACCCAAAAGACTAGTCTATTTATAGGTGGGAGAGTTTCATGACTTAGGTACCAAATTGATTTTGCAATTCTGCTTAATGTGGGACTCCTAACATTGTCGTCTCCTTTCAGGGTCGACGTCCATGACGGTTTTCACTCTATCGGCATTGACCTGATGGTATCCCTTTCTCTTTTGATGGTTTCACTCACCTATCGGTATTTGGTAATATACAGCCTATAGGTAGTCATTTCTCTAATGACGGATTCACTCACCTATCGGTATTTGGTAATATACAGCCAATAGGTAGCCATTTTCGTGGCGCAACTCTCAATAAAATACCAATTGTTATGACTGAAGCACATGAGGAAAGTACAACCTAAAAAAAACTAGTCTATTAGGTATGAGAACTTCATGCATGACTTAAGTACCACATTAAGTTTGCAATTTTAGGATGAGAAATCTCATATATTTCTCTTTTAGCTAAAACTTTTCTTCCATGTTTTATATCATGGTCCAACATAGAAGTTATAACATTGTTATTTTGCTAACTATAACAATTTCAATTGTGGTGGTATTTTCCTCCAATTATGAATAATTTTGATATCTGTAATTATAATCCTCACCCCAATTTAAAACTTTACTCGTTTTATTTCTCTACCTAAATTACAATGATGTGAAACTTTTGTATAAAAATAAAAGAAAATGGCGTGTTAATTGAATTGGTCAAATTTTGATTTGTAATTAACACTGGGAACAGCTTATTTCAATCTGTTTTATGTCCACACTAGTTCATTAACGTGATTAACTAACTCACTCTCATTAATTTCCTTTGACCCAGTCAATATTCAACTTGACTTCAAGTTTGACAAATTAACATAACATCAAGAGGTTTCATCATTGTCACTATGTCAAAAGAATAACGTTATCTACATTTAAAATTAAAATTAAAATAATAGAATAATATATTTTACCAAAAAAAAATAACTACTCATAGTATAATTTGTTGTTTCTTATTTTGCCCTTACTAATTTATATTTTATACTAAAAAAACAATATAATATATTTCCTCATTTTATGTTCCATGTTTATTTTTGTAACTGCTACAGTTTTTCATTTGAACACGACAGTTTTTCCACATGGATCAAGACAATATTTGAACACGACAATTTATCTTTTTCATTTTTTAAACATGCAAAATTGTAAATCATGTTTTGTTAATTTTGTTATAGTTATGAAAAATGTAATAAAAGTATACAAATCAACTACAATTCAATCATCAGGAAAGCAGGTTGACTGATATGTGCACTATATAAACCTCAAATTATATTATATCCTTCATCTTATATATGGTGCAATCTAATTTAATTTTCTATCCTTCATGGTAATTTTTTAATTATATATGCATGTAAGTCAATATTTTTTTGTATGATGAAAATTTGTTTCCACTTCTCATAATAATAAATGCCCTCTAAATCCTACGTATGTTCTATTGGCATGAAAAATAGATATAAAGAGTGTAATATATGTATTTATTAGCGTAAAGATTTATAAACAAATAAAAATTTTGTTCTATTTACATATATTACTCATTTGTATTAATTTTGTTTAAAAGACAATGATAATTAAATATGAAGATGATACGGTATAAAAAACTCTTACTCCCCCCATACATTTTTTCATCTTATATAATAAATAGCTATGGAAAATTTATTGTACAGTAAATTTAGTAGTTGTATGAATTATGAGATGAATTGGTAAAAGTAGTGGGGCTTTCTAATATTACATACAAGGTCCTGCAAGTACTTAGTCAACCAATTGATTTAGTTAGTCTTTTATTATTTTGGTACATTCTTAATCTCGAAAAACAAAAGTCAATTCAATCCAAGTTTGGAACAATCTTGAAGACCCAATCCACCAGTATTTCTATCACAATATGTAATATGTACATATTTGTAAGTAGGATTACTTTTTCCAAAAAATATATATATTATGTTTATATATCTCAAATCAATCACATTCTATCAAGTAATATAAAAAATATAATTTTCTATTTTATAATTTTATAATTAGTTGGCACTTCTTACTTCTTTTTTTGGTTCAATTTAATTTTTTAATATTATTTCCTTTTATAGTAATTTAATTTAATAATATGATAATAACATAATATTAGAAGAGTTTGATTTTGGGGAATCTAATTAGTAAGTAATAACTAAGCGTTTATTTTAGAAATATAATGGTTCTCAAAAAAAATTTCTTCTCTCGATCACATCTATAATTCAACTCACAAACCCAATTTTTTTGTTATTATCAATGATATTTTCTCACCTCTTGGTAATAAACTAATTCATTTCGGGGTATGTGACTGCCCCTCCAATAAATATTGTTCTCAAGAATCAAACTCTTAACATTTTGGTCATCCTAGAATCTAGTGCGGCCTCACCGGTCCATCAACACAATGCTTGTGGTTTGTACTCAGAATCACTAAGTCAATTGAACTCTTTTGGTATATTATAAAATTGATAAGAAAAACATGCTGAGTTTTTAAAATATTTTTATATGGAATATGGAATTAGTTATGACTTTTGACTGACAAATGAATTAAT